TTCATTCTCGGTGGTTGGAGGTCCCCCGTCTCTCTACTCGCTTCTCTTTTTTATCTCAAGAGATTGACTCAAGATACAACCAAATCTTGTAGATTTAGTCCTGCCTCATTAATATAACTGCCTCTAATCCTGCCTCATTAACGTCATATAGGTAGAATTTACAACACATAGGAAAATCACATCGGATGACAGAATGGTGGACAATCACATGATACTAGGAATCATGGCCTAGCCAAGTTGACAAACATTTTTGGGAGACACAGTTCAATCCATAACAGTTATCTAGTGCTGCTATAACAGAAATACCACAAGTGGATGGCTTTAACAAGCAGAAATTTATTCTCTCATAGTTTAGGAGGCTAGAAGTCCAAATTCAGGGCACCAGCTCTAGGGGAAGGCTTTCTCTCTCGGTCGTCTCTGGGGCAAGGTCCCTGTCTCCTTTCAACAGCTGTGGGCCTGGTGTTCCTGGAGATCTACATGTATCCTTATGCAAAACAGTAATTTAAAAAATAAAATGTGGTTAAGAATAATCCTAGGATTCTTTTAACACTCATACTGAGTAAAACAATAAACATGGCCTCACAAAGGCAAGACAAATTTTTGAACTGCTCTATGGGGCAGTTCTACTCTGCCCTGTAGGGTCGCTATGAGTCGGAATTGACTGGACAGCAACAGGTTTTTTTATAGGTAACTGCAAGGAGCCCTGGTAGGGGATATGTGCGTATGGTTAAAAAAAAATCAAATGATATTAAAGGGTATACAGTGAAAAATGAGTCTCTTTCCTACTCCTGACCTCTAGTCCTTCAGATGTCACCACTTTTATCATTTTCTTGTGTAGCCTACTAAGAGATATGCTGTGACTACAAGCATATGTGTGTGTGTGTATACATTACCATTCCTCCCTCCTTTCTATTTCTTTTTAAACAAATAGTTGCATACTATGAACTCTGTACTGTACCATGCTTTTTCATGTACCAATAGATTTTTGAAATTGTTCTGTAATGATGCAGCATCTACATCAGTACATATAGGTCTACTTAATTTTTTAAATAGACTATATTTTTAGCTTATATAAATATACTGTAATTTATTTCACTAGTCTCCTGCTAATGGACGTTAAGGTTGTTTCTACTCTGTTGCCACAAACAGTGTTACAGTGAATATCCTTGTGTATATATCTATGCACTTGTATGCACATTATGTCTATATGTGATAGATAAGTGTATGTGATAGCATATACTGTATTAGATAAATGCCTAATGTGGAATTGCTAGCTCCAAGGATATATGCTCTTAAAATTTTCGTGTATTTTATAGCAGAACTCTAGAATCAACCTATCAAATATCGTTTTGGGATTGTGATTGGAAGTACACTGAATTTATTAATTCATTTAGGGAGAATTGAAATCTTTATGATATTTTTTCCATCGATGTCTGTGGTATGTTTCTTCAGTTACCGTATTTTTTCAAAATTAACACGTGTGTTATGCATTTTTTTTGCCAACCACTCAACCCACCCCGCACGTTATTTTTGTAATTGCACTATGCCAATTTTTTTTACATGTTGCTGACTTCAATTTCTATTTCTGATCACATGGAAACTTCGCTTAAGGTAAGTATTGATTTTATATTACTTGAAATTTAACACCAAAGTATTTACCAGTATATCAAAAGTGTTAGACAAAATTTAACTTTTGTAATTTCATGATAAAATATCATTGTATTTCTTATGAATGGAGCAGAGGGACACCATGTTGAAACCAAAGATTACGAATGCAGGAAGAACTACAAAAGTAACATTTTCAGATTATTTTTGCACACATGTAAAAATGGCTTGGGGACGGTGTCTGACCTCTAATTTTACAAGGAGAAAGGAGACTGAAGACCAACAGCCCAAGGCTGATTCCCATGAGGCAGAGGTCAGACATGTCTTCTCTCTCCACCATCTTTACCAGTTCTGACACCAACCGGCCCTCCCATCGCTGCTTCTCTGCTGGGTTCGATAATTCATCACAATGGCCACGCAGAACTTAAAGACGATCCTCAAAGTTATGGGGTTTATTAGGGAAGTAACAGATTACAATTCAGGTTGAGGAATACTCAGGATACAGTTCTTCCATCAGGACAACCTCTTCCCAGCTGTGCTCGCAGGCATGCCTCTCCCTGGCCCTAGGCCTCTGACCAAAGGCACTCAGCTTTCTCTCTCCATGGGCTGGGAAGCCCACCTTGCCATCTCTTGCTGTCTGGTCTCTGCTGCCCCGTCTCCGCCACCAGTTCTTGCCGTCTCTAGGGTTACAGCTCGCTCTCTGTCTCCTGGGTTCAGGAGCTTCTCAGCACAGGGATCCCGGGTCTAAAGGACATGCTGGCACCTGGCTGTTCTTCCTTGGTTGTGGTGGGCTTCTCTCTTCCCCACCTCTGGGGTGGCTTATTTCAAGCCCAGTGGGTTGGCAAAACTGACCAATCCCCTTGGTGGACTACAATTACCCTATCTGCACAGTCCTGCCCAATCACCTGGGTGGGAGTTACAAGACCATGGTGAGAAAGGCCAAACAAAAGCGATTCATTACACCGCAACACATAAGCAGGAGATTAAAGAAAATAAACAGAACGATATGATTTATTTGTTATATGGGAGGATGGGTAAATGAGGCTGAAATTCACTTCTGGAAATGTCACGAGACATGCATGGTATATGCATGGGTGCACTATGCCAGAACTGTTTTACTTAATTTCATCATTTCTGTGCATTATATGTGTGGGTGTGTTATTTATGTGGGCACATTATTTGTGGAAAAATGTGGTACTCTAGTCTTAGGTAATTCTCCAAAGCTATATAGTTTTGTTTTTTTTTTCGTTATAGATGTTTATATTTGTACAAAATATTTTAAAGTTTTTGTTGTTATGAATAGGATCTTTTCATGACATCTTATTGCTGACCTTTTGTCCAGCTACCTTATACTCTTTTATTGGTTTTATTCATTTTCAGTTGATCCTTTTGCATTTCTTGATAGCTGAACATATGGTCTCCATATAAAATTTTCGTCTCTTTTCTTCAAAACTTATTCTTTTTCTTATTGCATTGGTAAGAAAATGGTCCATTGTAGCAGTGATAGTGAATATCTTTGTCTTGTTCCTGATTTTAATGGGATACGGCTATTTATACTATTCAGTGTTAGCCAGGGAAATAAGTACTCTTCTGCTTCACTGGTTTGAGTGTAAATTGGTATAACCTTTTTTGAACAGTTTAGTGGTATATGTGTTAGGGTCTTAAAAAAAGTGTAAGCCCTTTAACTCAGCAGTTCCTCTAAATAACTAAGGAAGTGTGCAAAGATATAAGAATATTCATGGAAGGGCTGTTTGAAATAGCAAAAATTTCTAAACAACTTAAATTTTCAATTGTAAGGAATTGGATAAATAATGCTACATTCATTTAGTGAAATACCATGTAACCCAAACCAAACCCACTGCCATCGAGTCGATTCCAACTCATAGTGACCCTGTAAGACAGAGTAGAACTGCCCCATAGGGTTTCCAAGGCTGTAAATCTTTATGGAAGCAGGCTGCCACATCTTTCTCCTGTGGAGTGGCTGGTTGGTTCAAACCACCGACCTTTCAGTTAACATCTGAGCACTTTAACCACTGCACCACCTGGGCTCCTTGAAATACCATATAGCCAATAAAAAAAAATGAGGTAACTTTACATATACAGCTTTATGGAGAGATGTTCATGATGTTTTACTAACTGAAGAAACTGGTTGTAGAGCAGTATGTACAATACGTACAATGTGATTCCACTCTTTCAACAATAATTTACATGTACACACTTGGAAAGATATATGCTGAAAATTTAGCAGTGGTGAGCCTTCTCTGAATGGTGAGATTATAGATGATTTTTATTATTTTTTTGTTCTCATTTTTGTTTGACTGTATTTTCTGGTGTTTTTGTAATGAGCTTTTGAAATAAGGGGAAAAATGTAATTTACTTTGGAAAAATCCAATAGAATAAAGTTTATTCAATAAATATTTATTAATTACCTATTGTGTGCAAGGGGGCCCTGGTGGCACAGTGGTTAAGAGCTTGGCTGCTAACCAAGAGGTTGGCAGTTGGAATCCACCAGCCACTCCTTGGAAACCCCATGGGGTAGTTCTACTCTGTCCTATTGAGTCACTATGAGTTGGAATGGACTAGATGGCAATGGGTTAGGTTTAGGGTTGTTGTGTGCAAATCATTGTGAGGCATACAGAAAAGTATATGACCTGAGCCCCTCGCTCCGCTCAGCAAATATATATTGTGCCTCTATTCTGCGTCACACATTGGGAACACAAAGATAAATAATAGCAGTTTTGCCTCGTTTCTAACCTCACAAAGATTATACTCCGGTGAGGAAGATGGTTAAAAAAACAGGCTGTTGTTGTTCCTGTTAGTTGCCATGGAGTTGATTCCAACTCATGGCAACCCCATGTTTGCAAAGTAGAACTGCTTCATAGGGTTTTCAAGGCTGTGACCTTTTAGAAGCAAATTGCCAGGCCTGTCTTCCCAGGCGCCTCTGGGTGGGTTCGAACCACCAACCTTTTGGCTAATAGTTGAGCACTTAACTGTTTGTGCCACCCAGGGACTCCAAAAAAAAAAAAAAAAACGAAAACGGGTAGTTACATTAGATTTGATAAATGCTACTAAAGAGAGGGAGCCCTAGTGGCACAGTGGTTAAGCAGCTCAGCTGCTAACTGAAAGGCCCGTAGTTCCAACCTACCGGCCGCTCCGTGGGAGTAAGCTGTGGCAGTCTGCTTCCGTAAAGATTACAGCCTTGGAAACCCTATGAGGTAGTTCTACTCTGTCCTGTAGAGTCACTATGAGTCAGAATCAACTCGACGTCACATAACAACAAGAGAAACACAGAGGACTGTGGGAGCCTAGAGGAGGGGCTTAAAGTTTAAGAAGTTTGTGTTCCTATAGGTTCTCCTTTTGTTTCTAGGAACTGATATTATGATCTTTGTCCACAGCCTATGCTGTCCTCCCAACTCTGCTAAGAAGCTCCTAGGGGAGCCTTTTGTCCTGAGACAAGCTGTACCTGTGGATTTGTTTCCTCACACTGCACACTGTGAACTGGTGCTCCTCTTCACTCGATAAGCAGCCTCCTAGAAGACCGCAGGCTATTTGTTAAGGCCGAAGTTTCAGTAACTTCCAGGTTTGGCATATTGCTACATTGCAGATCCCGGGGCCATTACTGAGGAAGATACTCTTTGGATCATGGGCAGGAAGAATATAGGAGCCTCCTGTCTGAGGCAGATTTACTCTTAGTTTTAAGGTTTCCTTGCTGTCATGCATGTTTGCCTGGTTTTGATCACTCCTCACTCCTTGGCCTTGGATCTGGACTGTTCTTTCCTTTTGCTGTCAGCCTGTCATGGCTCCCTTGGTCCTAGCTTATAGTCTTGACTCCTCTGTCTGACTCTGCCTATGGTATGGTGACAGCTGAGCTTTTCTCAGCAGCTGGTAATAATTTCACATCAACTTAGGTCTCTGCATTTGCTCTGAGATTTTGCTAGATATGTTTTTGAGACTTCTGAGTTCATGAGGTAGTCAAGGATTAGAACTAGAAAGAAGTCTAGCTTAAAAAAAATAACAAGCAGGGTTTTTTTTTATTGATTCTTTCAACAAATACATATATATATATTTATTTTGTCGTCGTTGAGAATATACACAGCAAAACATACATCAATTCAACAGTTTCTACATGTACCATTTAGTGACACTGATTACATTCTTCGAGTTGTGCAAACATTCTCCCCCTCCTTTTCTGAGTTGTTTCTCCCCCGTTAACATAAACTGCCCCCTAAGGTTCCTGTCTAATCTTTCAAGTTGCTGTTGTCAGTTGGATCCCATATAGATAGTTCTTGAAAGAGCACAATGCTCAAGGCAGACATTCTTTACTACTTCAGCTAAACTCTTGTTTGGTTTTAAGAAGACTTCAGGGGATATTTTTGGTTTAAGGTTTAAAGATTTCAACAAATATATATTTTTAATTAAGTCTTGTTTTTTAAAATAGCAGAGTAAGCAATGAAGTGATTGCAGGGCGACTGAGTGATCATCAGTAGAGAGTCATTCCTTTGGGTTTCCTAGGCTTTGAGGCTTCTAGGATGCTCCTTAAAATGTGATTACCTCCTGGAGCAATAGCATCAATCACTTCTTCATGGAGAGAGAATCGGTCATAGGAGAGACCCTATGGGAAAGATCTTCAAAGAAGAGACTAAATACCTATAATTGTGCTGTGTAGTATGGAGACGAAAGCTGTAGAATCCCATAAGGATCCAGTATATACTATAACAATCTGGATATTGAAACTGACTATATATCAACATTATCTAGTCTATGATCTATTCTGTTCTAGAGTTGTTCTTGGATACTTGCCCAACAATTTAGATTATGCTTTGAATCTCTTAACAGCCTAAGGTCATGTAACTCAGGAAGCATTGTCTGATTTACAAAATGATATCAGGTCAACTAGTATTTTTAATTCTTCTCACTCCTGAATACTTTTAGAGAAGCCCCCTTCTTAGAAAAATATGGCTGTTAAAGCTACTATGTAAATATCCATTTTTTAAAGACTAGATGGAAATCATCTAATATAATAAAAGTGTTGGTTTTATAATAGTCAAATAAGTTTTTTTTCCATTTCTCTATTTTTTATTTTATGAGGCATTGGTTGTTCAGTGGTATAAATCTCACCTTCCATGTGGGGGAGACCCGGGTTCCATTCCTAGCCAATGCATCTCATGCACAGCCACCACCCATCTGTCAGTGGAGGCTTGTGTATTGCTATGATGCCAAACAGGTTTCAGTGGAGCTTGTACACTAAGACTAACAAGTAAGAAAGGCCTGGTGATCTGTTTCCGAAAATCAGCCAATGAAAACTGTATGGATCGCAATGGTTTGATCCTGAACTCATGGTGATAGTGCAGGACTGGGCAGCATTTCGTTCCATTGTGCATGAGGTAGCCATGAGTCAATGGCAGCTAACAACAGCAACAACGATTTTTTATTTCATGTAATGGGGTTATACTATTTTTATAATTTAATATTTTTAAAAAGCCACTATATTTTTTCTCCTCCTTTGTTCCCCGTATCAGTAAATGGCAGTATCATCTACCAGTTGCCTAAGCAGGAAACCAGGAAATTTTCTTTCTCATTCCTGTAGCCAGATGCCTACAAGATAGATTCTACCTGGATATCCAAACTCAACCTGTCTAACATTAAATGTTTCACATCTTTCCCCTAAACTGTTCTTCCTGTATTCCCAATTTGATGGAAAATACCAATCTATTTAGTTACCCCAGCCAGAAGCCTGGAAATTATTTTTGAGTCCTTCTTTTCCTATACCCTCCCACCCTCACCCAATTAGTCACCAAGTCTCCATCTTTGCAGGCTACCATCATCTCGCACCAGATTATTATTGCAAGAGCCGTCTTCCTACCTGATGCTGCTTGTACCACTCTCGCCTCCTTCCATTCCATTCTCTACGGCCAGAGTGATTTTTCTAAAATGCAAATCTGATCACGTCTCTCCATTGCTTAAAATCTGTCATTGGCTTCTTAATTGCTTTTAGACTAGAGTGTCAAATTCTTTGTTTTTTAATTTTATTGTGCTTTAGCTGAAAGTTTATAGTGCAGATTAGTTTCTCATTCAAAAATTTATGCATAAATTATTTTGTGACATAGGTTGAAATCCCCACATTATGTCAGCACTCTCCTCCTTTTCCTTCTACCCCAGGTTCCCCATGTCCATTCGTCCAGTTTTCCTGTCCTTTCCTGCCTTCGTGTGGCTTTTTTTGGGCAGGTGTTGCCCATTTCGTCTCATATACTTGATTGAAGTAAGAATAAGAAGTACGTTCCTCATGTGTGTTGTTGTTTGTTTTATAGGCCTGTCTAATCTTTGGGTGAAAGGTGAACTTTGGGAGTGGCTTCAGTTCTGAGTTAGAAGGGTGTCCGGTGGCCGTAATCTCGGGTGTTCCTCCAGTCTCTGTTGGACCAGTAAGTCTGGTCTTTTTTTTTGTCAATTGGAATTTTATTCTACATTTTTCTCCAAAAATGGGACCCTCTATTGTGATCCCTGTCAGAGTGGTCTGTGGTGGTAGCTGGGCACCATCTAGTTCTTGTGGGCTCAGGCTGGTGGAGGCTGTGGTTCATGTGATCCATTAGTCCTTTGGACTAATATTTTCCTTGTCTTTGGTTTTCTTCATTTTCCTTTGCTCCAGACAGGCTGCTTGCAAGCTTTTAAAACCCCAGACACTACTCACCAAAGTAGGATGTAGAACATTTTCTTTATGAACTATGTTATGCCAGTTGACCTAGATGTCCCCCAACACTGTGGTCCCCAGCCCTCAGCCCAGTAACTTAAGGTGTTTGGATGTGTCTAGGAAGCTTCTGTGGCTTTGCCTTGGTCAAGTTATGCTGACTTCCCTTATACTGTGTGTTGTCTTTCCCTTCACCAGAGTTAACAATTGTCTACTATCTAGTTAGCGATTTCCCCTCTCTACCCCTCTCCTCCCTCATAACCATCAAAGATTATTTTGTTCTGTGTGAAACTTTTTCTTGAGTTTTTATAATAGTGGTCTCATACAGTATTTGTCCTTTTGTGATTGACTTATTTCACTCAGCATAATGCCCTCTAGATTCATCCATGTTGTGAGATGTTTCTCAGATTCATATTGTTCTTTTTTATGTAGTATTCCATTGTGTGTATGTACCATAGTTTGTTTATCCAGTCATCTGTTGATGGGCA